AGAGGAGACCCCAAAGTGCCCCCTGTGCCCCCCAGCCCCGGGGGGAGAGATGCCCACGATGGCAGCGTCCTGCTTGGCCTGCAGAGCTGTGCCCCTGTCCCTGCGCTCCTCCCAATTCCGTCCTTCGGCCTCGTCCTTCAGCAGCTCCAAATCCTTCCTGCCCAGGATCAGGGAGCCCGGGGGCTTCTCCTGGGGAATGCTGCGGGAACAAGGATGGGATCAGGGGGGTCAGGGGCACTGCCAGCACCCCCCGTGCCACCCCAGAGCTGTGGGGACCCAGATTTGGGGACTGAGGGAATGGGAAGTGAGGGGGGGGGAAGTGGCACCACGATGGGGCTGGAGGGGTGTGGGATATTTGGATATTGGGATATTGGGATATTGAGAAGGGCCTCCTAGAAAACCCCTCCAGAACTCTCAGCTCCCAAATCCAAAGGCTGGAAGGATTTCAGCCCAACCTGCCTTTCCCAGGGAAGGGATTTTGGGAATGTTTCACCCCTTTCCCACAGGCTGCTCATCCCAACCCCAAAATAGCTCCGCTGAGATGGATCAAAACCTCTGCTGGGAGCAGATTTGGGGCAAAATAAACTGATTTTTCATATCCCGGGTCTGGTTTGGGAAGGGTTTGGGGAATATTTCACCCCTTTTCCATTGGCACAGAGCCCATCCCAGCACATTTTGGGGCAAAATAAGCCAATTTTTCACGTCCCAGGTCTGGTTTGGGAAGGGTTTGGGAAGATCTCACCCCTTTCCCAGCGGGCACAGTGCCCATCCCAGCACATTTTGGGGCAAAAGCAGCTGATTTTTTGATGTCCCGGGTCTCCTTTGGGAAGGATCTCACCCCTTTCCCAGCGGGCACAGCGCCCACCCCTTCCTCCCCCCCCGCAGATTTTGGGATGGCACAGCGACACCCCTTCCCCTCCCCACCCCTCCCAGACCCCTCCCCGGAGCTCGGGCTCAGATTTAGACTCACACCAAGTCCCGGATCAGGTCCTTGCTGTAGAGCCGGGTGGTTTTGGGTTTGTACCCGACGGCAGCAGCGTCGGAGGGAGATTTTGGCCTCTCCCGCAGCATCACGGAGGGTCCCCCCGACCCCCAGCGCCGCAGCAGCGAGGGGGGAACCGAGGCGTCATCGCAACCCCCCCCTCCGAGCCCCCCAAAAAGCGTCTCGTCCACCGAGGAGCTCTGGGCCCTCCGCCGGTACCGCCCGCGGGGCTGGGGGGGGGGCGGCGCCCCCGGGGGGGGGTTCGGGGGGGAACGGGACGGTTTGGGGGGCCACGGGAACCCCCCCGGGGTGGGGGAGGCGGGGGCGGCGGGGCAGGAGCGGCCCCGGGGCGGGGGGGTCCTGGGCCGGCCGGGGGGGAGCGGAGGTGGCGGCTGCCATCGCGACTGTCGCGGGGTTGTCGCCGAGGGCCGCGGCTCGTCCCCGGTGTGTCGCGACTGTGTCTCGGTGTGTCGGGACGGTCGGGGCGTGTCGGGGGTGTGGCGGTCGTGTCGCGGTTGTCACGCGGTGCCGGGACTGTCACGGCGTGTCGGGTCTCTCTCGGGGTGTCGCGACTGTCCCGGGGTGTCGGGATCGTCACAGTGTGTCCGTTCTGTCCCGGGGTGTCGGGATCGTCACAGTGTGTCCGTTCTGTCCCGAGGTGTCGGGATCGTCGCAGTGTTTCGGTTCTGCCCCGAGGTGTCCCGACTGTCGCGGTGTGTCGGGATCGTCACAATGTTTCAGTTCTGTCCCAAGGTGTCACGACTGTCCCGGGGTGTCGGGATCGTCACAGTGTTTCGGTTCTGTCCCGGGGTGTCGGGTCTCTCTCGGGGTGTCGCGACTGTCCCGGGGTGTCGAGATTGTCGCAGTGTTTCCGTTCTGTCCCGGGGTGTCGGG